TTTCATTATTCCTAAGTTGAGCTTTAGGTTTCCTAGATGGTTGCTCAACTTTTTCCTTATTATTAGGTTCATTTTCAAATCCTAAGCCATGTTTAGTAAGTTGCAAATTATCAAGAACATCATTAAGGTTTTTATGAGAAACACCAAACTTCTTCAAAGTTCCTTCAAGTTTTGCAACTTGATCCTTAAGTGATATACAAGAACTACATTTTGAACTTTCCGGTTTGTCGGCGCTTCTTTTTCCGAAAAACTTATTTTCTTCTTTAAGTTTGTCATTATATTTTGATAGTTTATTGACTTCCTTCTCCATGGAAGTAAGTTGTTTCTTCAAATCCTTGTTAATTTTAGAAGCGTTGACATATTCATCAAAAAGTTCATTAAAGGCTTCTTGTACATCATCAAAAGTATAGGAATCTTTAGAAGTGGTACATACCTCTTCCGGTGGTTCCTCGTGTGCCATGAGACAAAGGTTGACGCTCTCATTTTCTTCGCCTTCCGATGACTCGTCGCCGGAATCACCTCCCCATGAGATGTAGGCTCGGTGCTTCTTGAACATTTTATTCTTGTTCTTGGTGTTTGGACATTTTGGTTTTATATGCCCAACTTCTCCACACCCATAGCATTTGGGTGGACTTCCTTGCTTCTTTCCTTTCCTTTCATACTCTTGGCTCATGAACTTATGGAATTTCTTGAGCACGATCCCGAACTCGTCTTTGTCACTCGAGTCCTCCAATACCAATTGTTAGAATAAAGGCCCAACGCTAGAGGGGGGGTGAATAGCGTTTAAAACAAAATCGCAGGAAATTAAAACGAGGGCGCTAAAGTAAAGAGCGTAAGGAAGGAGCACACCGGATTTTATCCTGGTTCACCACAACATGTGGCTAATCCAGCCCCCCGAGAAACTCTCTCGAGCTACACTAACTCCGTTAAGCTTAAGGGTGCTTAACAAACCGATACAACTTGAGAACCCGAGTCACACGAGCCTCAACACCTTTGCTCGGAGATACCGCACTCCAAGACTTCTCACGAAGGAACAAGTAATTTCCTTCGATTTTACAACAAGGAAACAACCTCCCTTAAAGTGTATGAAAACACTTAAACACTCAGGGATAAAACTCTCACAAAGAGTAGATATGAGTGAACTAGTAAACGCTCAAGAACACGACAATTTCTTCAAGAATTGGCTCTCAAATAGCTAAGAAAAATAGGAATGCTTATGCAATGAAGGAGTATTGAAATGTTGAAGAATTGTGTGTAAAATGAGAGAATTTGTGTTAGTCGGTTTAGTCGTTGTGCCCACGCCTTAGAGGGGGGGTGAATAAGGCGTTTAAAATCTTTTCGGAGTTTGATAAAAACGGTGTTGGCAAATGCGGAAGCAATATATAAAACGCAGAAATAAAAGCGTAAATAAAATGCACACCGATTTTATACTGGTTCGGGAACTCCCTACTCCAGTACCTCGAGGCTCCTCCTCAAGGATTTCCGAATCCACTAAGTCCCGGTCTCTTGAACTCCGTCAAAGCACCCCACTAGTTTGGCAAACAACCCTTGCCAATAGGATTCACTCCGAGATTTCACCACGGCTATCTCGAACCGTTTACAACGAAGATTTAACGGCTATCTTCTACCGTTCCCCCAAGGATTTCAAAGGCTATCCTTGAACCTTTACCCAAGGATTTATACAGCTATCCTCGACCGATACAATATGAGAATTTAACGGCTATTCTCGACCGTTATAAAGAAGTGTTTAAAAAACACAAAAGAGGATTCTACACAACGGCTAGAATATAAAAATGAAGAACAAAACTTAGCCGGTGTAGAAGGAAAGTATACTCTCTCAAAAATACAATTCAAACTTATGAATATGAGAGTATATAACTAGAAACACGAGCTCAAAGTGTGTGTATAAAAATCGGGAATTTAAGGCTCTTGAAATAGCCAAAATATTGAAAAGGTCATGAATCCATGACAAAAATATACTCCTACGTATTTGAGGATGTAATACTTATTAGAGTTCTAACGACAATAAAACTAAATATCATAGCATGCCATGTGGTACTTAATATACTCCGATTATAAAAATAACAGTTTTACCTCAGATTCTCCTAAAACCCTTAAACCCTTGTCCTCCTGCACCCACCCCAGTCCCCAGGTCCATCCCCTCTCTTGGACCACTGATTGACAAGAATACTATCGCCAATAAGTGATCCAAGGAGTGGGTGGGGGGAGGAGGAGAGGTGATGTGAATCTGAGGAGGCTATATTAATCTCGTGATCTTCCAGATTTGACCGAACCAACGGGACCCATCTCGAGATCTCAATCAAAACAAGTCCAAGGAGGCTATATTAATCTCGTGATGGCAAGAAATTGAGGTTTGGCGAGTTTTGAGATGTTCCGAGGGATCTCTAGATAATTAAGCATGAAATAAAATCTAAACTAACGAGCCTAGAAAATTGCAGACTCGGACGGTCCAAACACTAAACCTTGGGACCACCACGATCGACCTTTTGAGTCGCTGAAGAAATCTGGAGATACCAATCTACAGACGGCCGAGGAGGTTGGACCGTCCAACTTGCAAGGTCGACCATTGGAGACACCGAAGAAAATCAAGCTACAAACGGACGAGGATGGTGGACTATTCTGAAACAACGGTCAACCATCCAAATCTACTTCGCCTTATACTGTAGTCGAATTAGACGAGGTTAGAGAGTTTTGGGCGGGATGTTTTCTCAATGAACTAGTGTAAGTTTGTGTTGTATTGTATAATATTAGTTGTATGTTAGAAGAATGTAGTTTATTTATTGTTTGACTATTAGTTTGGGTGTTATAATTTAGTTTGTAAGTGTTGATATTTTTTAGATGAACAAGTGATGGAAGCAAATTTTTACTTTTTGGTTTAATTTGTTTTTTTTAATTTAGTTTTGTGAATATATTTATGTTGTTGGGTTGTGTATGTATGTTGTTATTGTGTTTATGGGTTGAATTGTTATTGTTGATTCTGTAAATTTTGCACAGAATTCTGTGCAAAATTGAAATTCTAGTGAATTGTAAGCAAACGAAGAAATCTGTAAAAAAAATTATTATTTGAATCAGTTCTTAGCTAACAACCGATTCAAATGCTTCTTCCCAGAAATGGGAAGAAGCATTTGAATCGGTTATTATCAAATAACTGATTCAAATGCCCCTTCCTAGATGTGGCGCCAATTCTGGAAGGAGCATTTGAATCAGTTATTAGCTAGTAACTCATTCAAATGCCCGTTCCTAGAAGTGGCTCCAATTCTGGGAAGGAGCATTTGAATCGGTTATTAGGTAATAACCGATTCAAATGCTCCTTCCCAGAGTGGCCCCAATTCTGGGAAGAGGCTTTTGAATCGATTAAACAACATATGCAAAAAGTTACCTCATCATTTGCATCGCCAACTTTTGAATCGGTTTACAACCAATTTAAAAAGGTAAAAATAATCGATTCAAAAGGTCTTTTTTGTAGTAGTGAATGCATTTTGACAATAATCAATAAAACCAAGTTTTTCAGAAAACATGTATGGAAAATTTTCATAACAAATCATTTCGGCCAATTTTTGCTTATTTTGCTCGTCGCTATAAGCAAAAAGGCCGTCTTTACCCCTATTAGAAAACCGAGAAATTTGAGTTTGCACTTCTTGTCGTCCCTTCTTTTTCTCCGCGTATTTCGCATACTCCATGGGGTTCCTTGACCTTAGGTGTTTTTCCAAACCACCATAACCCCCGGAAATTTCTATTTTTATGACGGTTTCAAAAATTTACAAGTTCCAAAAACTTCGTCATTTTTTGTTTCTTTTGAAAAACGATAAACAAATTAATAAGATTTTAATTTTTTTTACCTTTCCCCGGACCTTCAGAGGTCTCGAGCTCACCTTCCTCCTCGTCAGCGTCGATAGAATTGTTTCTCTCCTGTGTAGGCTCCACGTCCTTATCTACTTCATCAATGTCCTTGAATATATCTTCAAGAGTTTGAAGATTAATGTCCGTCCTACCTCTCAAATTGTGTTCAACTTCTTGATCCGTCATAGCGTCGGCCACGAATTGATCAATGATAGTAGGGAAGGAAGAGACGGAGTGTCTTCCTTGAGAACCACGTGAGCTCAAACCATAGGAGGTGGCTTTAGCTTTTCCTTTCCTCGAACTTCAGTTCACAACACCCATATCCACGAACCTTCTACCGGACTCTTTCAATATTTTAATATGTTTTTATTTTTAAAAAAAGGACTGTATTAAATATTTAAAATATTAATTATATATTGAATATCGAAATTATAATATTAATTTATAACAATATAATATATTAGTAATATATGGATGTATGACTAAAAATTTAATATTATATGAGTTTATATTTATATATTATATAATATATTAATATATATTTATATTATTTTATGAATATAAAATGTATAAAGATTGAAGAGAGATAATAGAGAAAAAGGGATTGAGAAATGAGAATTTGAGATTTTAGGGAGAATTGAGTGTGGTATTTAAAAAAAGTTGAGAGGTTATTTATAATGTTAAACCCCCCCCA